ATTTTTAACCCTGAAATGTATGTCCAGGTTGGCCAATCTCTGCTATCGCGACTCCCACGGTGGCGAACACGCTCACGCTCAACGCGACGGTATTCAACACCACGTTCTCGATGATGCGCGTCTCTCTCAGTCTCTCTGCCGCGATCCTCCGTAGGAAGACCCCGTTCCCTTCGACTCAGCTGCGACGGGCGATCTGGATTCCCGCCGCGTGGTCCACGTCGCCTCCTCGATCTCTCACGCTCACGCGGAGGCATGGGTCGCGCCGGGGCGCGAATGGAATGAACACAAGTCAACAATTGATTGCAGTCAGTCCAACAATGAATACCCTCTCAACCCTGTGCGTATGTGAATGCAGTATGTCAAGCTTGACACGATGCTAGGTCTATAGTCAAGTTTCTCTCTCTCTCAACCAATGGTCTCTTGTAGCCCTTGATGCGGCTGATAACCAGTTGAAAGCTGAACGTATACCTGGTTCTATCAATATAGGGGCAGCTCTCGAGTCGCGAACGGACGATCGGTCGCGACCATGAAAAGCAACCTCAGCTTTTTCCAGGCACACTTGAGCCAAAGTATTTGGCAAGTTCACAGTTCGATCGGAGATGTCTCTTTCGACACGTCTATTTCCGATGATGCAAGTGTTCACATTACGATTCCCTAGCACAGGATTGACATCCAAAAGTGCTTTCACTGAATCCCTTCATGCATGGCCTCAGGCCCTTCACTTCATGTCAGTACTCAAAGTCCAGGCTATGGTTTTAGACGAGGGATTTCTTCTATATATTTTGACTTTTGTCAGTCCAGATTCCTCATGATGGTTTCCAGCTTCCGAGTTCAGAATCAAGGATGTAGAAGAGGGCGACAGCAAGTTACGCTTTGAACCTGCCGATACCTTCGCGCCCAATACATCAGGTTGAACTCCTTCTGGAGCTTGTTTGAGCTCTGCTTCTTGAGGCCCGTCCAACTGGCCAAGTAATATACAAATAGCAGAATGGCCTCCCCATTGGCCAATGAGGACAAGAGGGCAACATGCTAGCTGTATGAAGAACAAAGCTCCACCAACACCAGTAGCCATACAGGTCAATGGTCCAGCTACGCAAGCAAAGGACTCGTACTGCAGAACAAACTCTTGAAGACTTCTCATCTGCCATGTATACCACTCATAAGGGTGGCATGCAGGACTACCCTGGAGAAATAATGCTCGCGCAAACTCAGCCTCTCCAAGAAGCCCACAAAGGCAAGGGGAAAAGTCACTTTCTCGGCGACACGGGGGTGATGGACACAAGTTGGCTGTGCACCTGCTGTTTTCCTTTCTCATTGGACAACGAGCTGCATAATGCAATGCTGCCGTTGTGGACTCGACCAGAACAACCGCGCCCACCCCTAAAAGGGCCACTCCAAGCAGTGCAACAAGGACAGATGGTATTGTTTTCGAACAACTGGAGTTGAAAGAATCGTTTGAAAGCCTCAACAAGCCTTGCATTGGCACTGCAAGGAACAAGCCTGCTGCTGGCCATGCTGATGCCCAAAAGGGTGCACAATCTTGGCATGATTTTCCTTCGCAATCCATCTCATGCAGGTATTTGCAAATATCCAGCTTGGTGCGGCAAGGCGACCAAAAGTGATCAGCTATCAGACTGCCACTTAGCAAGCAAAGCTCAATCACACTTGTTAGTATTAGCGCAACCCGGAGATGTCGAACCACCCGCAAATTGGTAGGTTTCGGAGGATTGAAATGCTTCAAATGTTCAACTTCTCTGAAGGTTTGACCAGATACTTTTGGAGCACACGATCGCAAGCCCAACTTCTCTGCTTGCTCCTGCAATGTAGGATTCATCTCAACCCTGACATTTGTTAGAGCGTCGCGAGAAGACACACTGTCAGCAAGTTCACCAGAGGAAGTCTGCTTTCCGATTATCTCAGGTGCTTGTTCAGCAACAGGCTGGCTTGACCTCAGCTCGAAGAACAAGCAGCAAACGGCAACAAAAGAAGACTGTGAAACTTGGCAACCACCACTCAAGAGCAAGGCCGGGGTGCGCTTCTTCATCTGAAGTTGTGCTTGAGCTCTTATTAGAACCTGATGTATCCGAGTGTATTGTGCTTCCAGCACTCTCGTCCTGGCAGTAATTGCAGTCACCCCAGAAAGAGTTCAGGTTTCAGAGCCAAACCTCCTGGGAAATGTGCCCTTCTGCCGGAAGTGGCTCCACGTCTGCTAATTCTCGTGGGTTTCGAAGCCGCGGGCCTTACATCAGTGAGTGCCGTAGGGTCATTCAGAAGAAACACATGCGGCATTGCCTCTCCATGAAAGCTCTTGGGCACAGGCGAACTTGCAAGTCACTCGCAACGAACCTGGTTAAAGATTGCCTCACATCGCACCGCGGTGCATCCTGATCTCTTTCCAAATCTTTTGTAGCTCCAAGAAAAGGACAGTGCAAAAATCTCTGCATCCTCGTCATTGTCGGAGGCCTTGAAGGCAAGGCCAGCTAAGTTCAATTACAGTTTACGTCAATAAGTGTCTGTGACTCCTCGGCCCCCAAGGGATTGCAAAACCCTTCCCTTCATGATCCGCATAACTGGAACAGCCAATGTGCCTTACTACCTTACCCACTAGCAATATTTGCCGCTGCCGCTGCAACCTGTTTCAGTGATTATGAGGCTATATAATAGGCCGAGAATGCCCTTTCAAGAAGGTGAAACTTTATTTCAACGATGTGGGGAAAATGGCAGCACTGTCCACCTTTGCTGGCAAGACTTCAGCATGCGCATGTAGCCGTGACAGTTGCAGTAGATGAATGACTTCAGCATGTTTGTTTAGAGCCAGCGACGCCCCGGTTCACAATTTTGCAGGATTTTCATGTTTGGGGACTGTATGCATGACCTCCGGACCAGCAGTGTTTCTGTGGATCGGTGGGTGGGTGAGTGGGTGGGTGGGTGAGTGGGTGGCTGGGGCTCTGCAAACGTATCATGTACAGTTAACTGTACACTGCACACGCAGCACTGCCGAACTTCGTGTGTTGCGTTTGAGCCGGTACTTTTCCACATGTTGAAGAACTGCTTTGCAATTGAGCCTTGGTTGTTCAATTCTGTTTTTGATTTCTTTTCTCAGTCAACTGAGCCTCTATCGGACTTCGTTTCCAACACTGTTATCACTTCCAAAACTTTGTTTATCATTATTTCAACAGTGCTCGTCCGACCGTCCAGTGTCTTGTTGTGCCTACATCCTGCCGCCGTCTGGGTGTGTGGACTCTGTGCATCTTGAATAGAGCTCCCTTCGCAGGAGTCAAACACAGTAAACTTCAGTTTGCTAAAGACCTCAAGGGCACAAGTTTGCCACCCAGACAAGGTGCTGCATGCTCGCAAAATGCAAGCTGATGTCAGATTGGTGGAAGGAGGTTGGACGTTTGCTCTGCTGAAGAAAATGCTCGTCGCTTTCGTTGGGCTTCCTCCTCAAAGTGAACTTTTCCCTAGTGGCCTGGCAACCCACATGGCTCTTTAACTGGCCCTGCACATACAAAACCAAAGTGCCAGGTCATCGGTACCTCCCACAAAACACCAAAAACCTACAGTAGCGTTTTGAGCACATTGGACGCGGTGGCGCGGTGTCTTCAAATCAGGCGTGCATATCGCGAGGGCCCCAGTGGGCGTCACACCATGGGAAGGTTTTTTGCTCACAATCCTGTGGTCTTGCTGAAAGGACTGTCAAAAGAATCAGAGCAATTCTTGCATCAAGGTTGTCTCTGAGAGTTCCAATCAAGCGCGTCTCAGGGCACTATGTGATGATATGCCATTGACTGCATAGGTGCATTTGTTGGTACAGCCATGGATGCATGGACCGGCGGGTCACCACCACAAGTCTATACCCAGTCAGAACTGCTTTGGACAGAGTCTGGGGTTTGGGTATTTTCATGGCTTGGTGGCTGGAATGATGCCACGTTGAGTGCATGAACATTGCCATGAATGCTGCGGTAGATAGTGTGATGTGGATATTGAGCACATATGCACGAATGGGTGCATACATCGATATGCCGATGCCCACATCGGATACATCTGTGTTGTCTATCTCATCTTCGGTGCGGGCAGTTTCCCGCCGCGAAGCGACTTGAATGCCACTGCCCATAGGCACCCAGAGCTGGAAGGGAAGGCTCTAGATAAGCAAAGGCTTGTATACATATATATATATATTAATATACATATATATACATATCTGTCTGACTGTCTGACTCCATCAAGAGACCTCCTACCACTGAAACCGTTCGTCTTGAGTTTGTGTGTTTAGAAGCATAGCAGCAGCCAAGCTGAGTGGTGTAAAGCGAAGCCTGGACCTGAGATCTCAAGGCGGACGGCATGGCTGGAAGGCCTTCTGGCTTCAAGGCGGCATCCTGCAAATCTGCCTCTCAGGACAATGATCAAGAAATGTTCCTTAGGTTTCTTTGAGGAAGCTAAGAAAAACTCAAAGCCCATCGCCCATCACCTCCATGTCCCTCCATTTCTTCTCCCAGGCTGCGGTTCGAAGTCCTAACATGCAGAGAACAAAGCATTAAAGGTCTTCTCTTGTTATAGCAACTCTAGATCTAGATCAGATCAGCTGGCCTGAAGGGCTTGTCCGATCTTGCAATAGAGGCTTGGACCTCAAGATTTCTGACATCCCGCATAAGCCGTAAGAAAATATGAGGGAACACAAACACATACAACATGTTGCCATGTGTTTTGTTTCAGTCGTTGAGCAAACATGTCTTCCAACCTGTTAGAAAAGGTCATGTTGGAGCGCCTTCGTGAAGCTGGGGAAGACATCTCGCAAAAGCAACATGTGGAGAGCAGTATCTTTCGTCGTCAATGTCTTCTACTAGTTCTAGACCGCATACATTTGATGCATATTTCTTCACTTGATTTCCATGAACGCTCTGAACAGAGGAGTGCAAGGAGCCCTGAGTGCCCAGAGATGAATCACTCAGTTGGCTGTCTGTGGCAGTGGAGGAAGTTGCATGCTTTGCATCACTGTTTTTGCATCGCAACGCTCACTTTTTCAAACTCGCAACTCGAAACAATAAAAAGTCAAAACCTTGCTTCGCAATATCGACCTGGCACCTCTATGCAGCCACCAAGCGTGGCCAAAAGCAGAGAATCAAACTGCAAAGGGACAACACGCCCGCTTGAACTGCAGTAAATACAAGCCACTTCTCCAGACTTCTGAGATCTTTCATGAAACCATAGGGCCAACTTCCAGTGATTGCATGATTTATGTGGAGCACGCTGAGGAATGCCAGGACATACACAAAGTTCGTCAACATGATGACAAGCACCGAAGGCATAGTAGCTAAAAGCATATTTCTTTGCTTTGCAAGCAAATCAAGCACCACGACCACAAACGGAAGAATGTGTCGTGTACTGTCAATGAATCCAAACCGAACTCCTCGCTCGGCCCATATTTGGCACGTTCTCTTGTGATCTATATTGGGAAAAACCAGATTGAAATACTGAACCGTGACAAACACTCCAGCTGCTCCAACAACTGGAGTTGCTTCATATGTGCCATATGCCAACCGTTCATTAACAAAAGGGGACACGAAGGAAACAACTGAGTGAATAGCCAGAATTCCAATGGTTTGGTGTGTCAAATACACCCACCGGCCAAATGGTCCGTAAGTCACATTGAAATCATCTTCTGCTGTTTTGGTACCACGTGGCAAGACCAAAAGTTCCAAATACAAGTTGTAAATGGATACAACGCTGGCCAGCAATTGGATCGCAGAAGCTTCAATTGGTCCTGTGATTTTGGAACTGGCATCTCCAGCGGCCCACAGGATAGAAACATAGAGAAAGAATATCACGCAAAGTCCGACAGCATCCAAACGTTTTGTGTGGCGATGCTGCAGTTGTTCTTCAACGTCAAATTTTCCAGGGAGGCATGTCACCAGTTGCCACAGCAACGTCGTTTGAAGATTACTGTGTTGTCTGGACATGGAATATGAAAGAACAGACACCTGAAGCTGGTGCACTTGGACCAAATGATTTGTGGGAGCATTCTCTCACAACACGTTTGTCCCCAAAGAGATTGATATCAGCGTCAGAAACCAAACTTGTCACCAGCAAAAAGGATATTTTTCAACAACACATGACCCATACACGAACGATGCAAGAAACGCAATGTCAAACAAACAGTTTTTGTGCATGTCGAAACAGTTTGCCACGAAACCTATAATAGTTCGACATGCAATCACCGAGTCCACACACAATGGTCGGGAACGCGGTCAATATCCAAGCAAATGCAATTTTCATAGACCACGAGTTCCATAAGGACTGTTCGCCGAAAGCCGAATTTGTGTTCAAAGGCCGCACACTGCTTGCACAGAGAACTTTCACATCGGGATTAAACCCAGATAGGAACCTTTGCGATTGGCGCCCTGCCGGGACCATCACCGACGCTCCAACACGCACTGCCATAGACTCCAGACAATCTTTAGGCACGCTGCAGTGGCACCAGCATGCAGCCTCCAAGCCCACACAATTGACACAGCAGCGGCACCAGCAACGCAACAAGGCTCCAAAACGTACGTGGCGCCAGCACGCAAACCCAAAGCGGCGGCACCAGCACCCAGACTCCAAAAAGCTCTGGGCATCCGTTCCTACACTTGAAGTAAAAGCCCCAAAAGCTTCTCGTTGAGTCATAATTTCAGGCTCAAAAAGACTCAAGCACCAGCGTGCAGCAATCATTCCAAAATGTGCGTGCACCAAGCACGATGCACAGACATGGCCGTGCGAATTCCAAGCAAACAAACTGCACCATTGCAGGACCAAACAGGTGGGACAAACATTTCCAAGTCCAAGTTTTGACCAACAAGAACGGACAAAAAGAAAACAGAAGTGATATGCGGACACACTGACCACTGGAAGACAAGCCGGACACTGTGACCAAGAAGAGGAAGACAAAACGAACATACTCATCTGGATTGGCAAGACTTGAGCTCCCGGCGGAAGCCAACTTCCTAGGGCCACGAGCATGTGAAAACTGCAAATTTCTTGCATATGTCGATCTTTCCGACACTTCGATCAAAACCATCAGCAAGCATACCTTCTCACACTGTGTGAGTCTAACGCAAATTTGGCTCCCGGCTATTCTACCGGAAATTCACACGGAAGCATTCGCTTACTGCGAGGCCCTTGAAGGCGTGGACATCCCACCGGCGTTTAGATATATCGCTCGCTCACTTTGAGGCCTTTTGCAAGAACTCACTGCCCTACATATGTTTCACTGTTTTTTTTTGCACGGGTGGAGCCGCCGTACGTGCAGGAAGTTCACAGGTCAGCTTGTGTTATTTTTTAATGAGTCTCTTGTATAGAAGGAAGCAACAGGCAACCAAACCCAAACAGAACCAAACAAAAACAACCCGCCGGGTGTGGAATCGCACGTGTAGTCGTGCAAATGTTGATTCAAAAGTGCAAGCCCTCTCAGTACTTTTGCTTGTTCGATGATGTTTTTTGGGGGTCCCGGATCCTTTCATTTTTAAAGCCGAATCTGCCGAAACCCAAGCGCCAGCGAAAAAACCGTCGCCGTTTTTGTCCCGGGCACTTGCTCCGCTGCGGAATGCGGCAAAGACACGGAAACAAATACACTTGTAAGCTTCCAACATGTATTACGCTCGCCCCGTGTGATATGCAATTGTACGTGCGTTCGACAGAGAAACGAAAATCGATGAAATCGATGACAATGTTTTGAAAACGATGACAATGTTATGCAACCGACGAGATATAATGTTGTGAAACCGATGACAATGCTATGATACCGAAGATTACTTGTCGTGAAATCGATGACAATGTTCTCAGCATGACATCCACATCCTCATTACATCACAACCCCCCCACCCCCCACCCCATTTTAATCACACGACTAATCGATGACAATGTTATGAAACCGATGACAATGATATGAAACCGAAGATTACTTATTGTGAAATCGATGACAATGTTCTCCATGACATCCACATCCTCATTCCATCACAACCCCCCCCACTCCATTTTAATCACACGACTAATCGATGACAATGTTATGAAACCAATGACAATGTTGGCAAACCGATGACAATGTTATGAAAACGATGACGATGTTATGAAACCGATGACAGTGCTATGAAAACGATGACAATGTTATGAAACCGATAACAATGCTATGAAACCGAAGATAACCTTAGTATAAATAGTTGTCCACATCAGCCCACCCGTCCTTTCAGGTAGCATCAACTTCAGGAAGCAAGTGCAAACGAACGTCAATATGCCCCATCCCACCCCACCCCAACCCCCCACCTTTCACGTAGCATCAACTTCAGAAAGCAAGTGCAAACGAACGTCAATATGCCTCATCCCACCCCAACCCAACCCCCCCACCTTTCACGTGACGTAGCATCAACCTCAAAAATCGCAGTAGTCACACGTTCAGTTTTACACCCGTAGGCAAAAACAAGAAACACAAAACCTGCAGAACATCACAAACCAAACAGAAGAGACTCATCTTTGTACATGCATAAGTGAGACCGGAGTGAAACAGTGACACTGTTGTGCTATTGTGGTTGGGCAATGAATTATGGCAAGCGGATCGAAAGCTATCGAATGCGATGTAGCAGCTTGCAGCTAAGGCTGGGAAGGGCGAAAGGCCTCGTGTGGCAGGAGTGCTCATTTTAAAGGAGTGCTCATTTGCTCGTCGTGTGCCTTGGGTAGCTATAAGATGATTGCAGGCTACCCAGTTGTTTTACTGCGAAGCTGGAACGAAATGCCAAGAGGGTGCAAGTCCGGCCATGGAAACCTGTGAGGCGTTCAGTCTCTAGCGTGACAAGCAAAAGAGCACCGGGCCTTCACTGTGGCCTGCATTTGGTGTAGTTAAATGACAGTCTCTATGATAGAGATAGCCTCCAGGAGGAGGGAGGTGTAGCCGCACGGCAGAGGCATACTCCATAACAGCTAAGCCAACAGGAGTGTACATCGCCTATGTGGCAACAGGTCAGCCGGCCGCATCATCCTATGTATGGGACAAGCTCTCGACAGTCAACATTCCAAAAGTGCAAAAGCATGCAGTGCCCAGGTGAGACATGAGAGTGAAACGTGGGAGCTGTGTTGTCTGTACACTTTATACACAGCTGGCAGGGTAGTGACCCACCCTCAGGACAAGGACTGAGGTCCTCGCCTGAGTTCCAGCCAATTGGGCATGCTGTCTAGCCGCATTGTGCCCCAGGACAAGAACTAAGGTGCTCGCCTGAGAGTCGATCACTGGGGCTTGCTGCCTAGATTCATGCATCTTCCGTTTGGCCGTGTACAATGACTGACGATGCTCCCTCTCCACTTCACACAGGCTCGGAGGCTGAACTCATTCGTCACACCTGTGCTATTTTGTCCCCGTTTGTCCGACTGGTTAGTTAGGATCATTTCCTGTACTCGGGAGGAGCTTGATCCATTTCGGAATGACAAAACGGGAGCACAAGTCGAAGGCTGAGTGTTCGGCATAGGGTCCTCTCCACGTAGTTCGCTTACCTGGCATCAACTTGAGACCTGTCAGCCAGGTACAATCAAGGAAAGCTTTGTTGGCAATATAGCGGAGCGTCGGCGGGACTTCAATTTCTTTAAGTATGGCACAGCCCATAAAGGCTTTCACGTGGATAGTCTGTAATGTCTTTGAAAGCCAGAGGTGTTGAAGTCGCACGCAGTGGGAGAAAGTGTACTCCCGGATTTCAGTCACAGGAGTGCTAGATAGGTCAACGAAAACAAGGAGTTTGCCAATTATCGCAGGCGAGAGGGCCTAGAAGGCTAATACCTGGCGGAAACTTAAGGTCTCTCAGCACAGATGAGCCAAAACATCCTTGTGGTATTTCTCGAAACGTGGAAAGTGTAGTCGATTGACCTAGTTCTACCGAGGCTTGTGTTAGCGCGATGCTGGAAAGATTGAGACACGAAGCAAATAGGTATGGGGCCAGCTTGGTCGCAGCAGTGAAGGTATTATCTCCCCCGCTTGCGCCTATATGCTGTAAAGAACAACATTCGGCAAAGGCTCTATACCCAAAGTTAATACATCCTGGAGCATCTACCCTGCCTAGCAAGTAGCACCCCTGAAAAGAACTTTCTTCGATGCGCACTACGGTAGCCGGAAGCTTAACAATTCGAAGCTGACGACAGTTTTGCCATGCAAGGACTCCGACTGTGTGCAACCCTTCTTCCACAAGGACATGTCGTAGCCCAGGGACTGCATAGAAGGCACTGTCCGGGATAACTCCTGAGTCATTGGCTGGGACTCTCACCTCCCCGCTTTTGGGTACTCCTGGCCTTCGCTCTCTTGGAATTGCCGTTTGGATTGACAGACTTCTAGACATTCCCGAACTACCAGGTTAAAGCTCGTATTGATTCGAAGGGTATCTCCTATTGGGTCTCGGAGGTATTCTTGCGTATCTGGATGTACTAGATCAACTTCACATCCGAAGACATCTAGCATGATGACAGTGGCAAGGTAATCCACGATGTTGTCTTCAAGTTCGGTACTGATATCTCATTTCCCGCCAACGTGGTAAGCGTAAGTTGGCAGGCCATGGAATCGTCGCTCTCTGCAGGCGTGCTGGGCCATGAGGATTGGTCTTCAGCCATTGGAATTTGGCTCGACTCTTACCTAGTTGCTTTGAGCCAAAGCTGCATGATTGGCCAAAGTACGGCTACATGCACTCAGATGGTAGCATCGGCAAAGACCAGAGGCGACTTGTTGCTTGAGAGGTCAACCAATTTTTTTTGCACGGGTGGAGACGCCATGTGTGCAGAGAATGCACAGGTCATCTTGTGCTACTTGAAGGTGCGTCATCGGCCAGGAATGAAAACAGAACCCAACAAAGCAAACAACCAACGAAACACCCAACCAACAAACAAACCAAGCAACCAACCTGGCCAAGACTCAAGCGGATCATGCAGGTGTGAAACAAAATAATAGAGGTGAGACAAGGGGCGTCGAATTTGCAAAAAGGCCTCTCAGTACATC